GTTTGGTGCACAACACTTCTATGATAAAACAAGAAAGGACATGCATCATAATCATCAACTTATTTAAAGAAATGAGAGGAAACGGCGAGTTAGCGTCGTGGAGAAGAGGCACTTTGTTCAGTTTCTCATTTGGGATCGCGGTATCTGGGTCAGAGGGACCAGAAGCCCAGTCGTGCGTTTTCTGTCGCTTATTTCCGCTCCACCGGCGGGCGCCGCCACAAGTCCAGTCCGGGGACGCAGGCGGGGGCCTGTGATTACAGATGTCCAGCGTCTTTAGTCCTCTCCGTGTCCGAGACGGGGCGGAGAACTCTGAGGGGCTTCAGGGGGAGTCTCGAGAGTCTAATTTGTCTCTCACTGACGAGCTGTTTGTCAGGAGGATTCAGTCAAAGGGAGCCGCGTTGATCCGAAGTGAACATTTGTCGTCGTGACTCCATCACACCACAAAGCGCACGCAAGGTGCCTCTTTTTTTATATCTGCTTCCCTGTATTTTGAGATCATTTTGGCTCCGTTTGTGTTAAAAAACACAAAAAGAGACGTTTTCTTTTTTTTTTTTTAACTTGTCCTGTTCAGCATTATGAAATCTGAGTACTCTTAGTGATATACTAATCAAAACTGCTTTGCCAAGGGAGGTTTAGTTACCAAACTTACATGTGTCCAATAATGCCGAACCTGACAGAGAGACAGAGAAGAGAGAAGAGAAGTGGAAAGAAAGGAGAGAGATCCTTTAGACAGAAAGAGAAAAGGGGGAAAAAAAGAATAAAGAAAGACAACAAGACCATACAACCAAAAAGGAGCAATCATGGTGGAAATCCATGCCGAAAGTCTTCGTTTTGCCTCATCAGAAAGCTGTGAGAACACAGAGGATGGATTCTGAGTCAAATGAATAAAATATGGGTTTTTTTTCTAGATTGTTTTTGGAATTTCTACAGATTCCATCATACAAGCACCTGAAGTCAAACTAATGTGCGATTCGAGCCCCCGTGTTCTGCTTTAAGCTTTAAGCCAATCAGCTTCTGCTTCAAACACAAACTCTGTAACACATCCTGTCTTTTTTCCATCTGTAGGTAAAAAATTCGCCCACATTTTACCTTCAGTCTGAATTTCCTGCTCACACCACCCACATAATTAAAACACACCCACCTCCTTATCACAGCAACATAAACCATAAAGAGCCAAGAGAGAAGCTCCTAACCCCCTCGCTTCTTTATTTTTCTTAATTTCTTCTTTCC